CGCTCAGCGTCTGGATGCGATTCAGTGACAGATCCAAGTCCTCCGTGGACGGTTTGAGGCCGGGGGGAACTGAAGACAGGTTCTGAGATGAGTAATTCACTATGATCCGCTTTATGGCCAGAATGAGAGACGGGTGGAAACACGTGACATAAACAGACAGTAGCCACCAGCCTGACAGCTTCATCTTTCTGACGGAGAGAAAACACTTGATTTCATTTCCTGTTGCAAGTCAATCGCATTTTCTCTTTTACTTAAGTCTCTAGCATTAGTTTGCATTGTGGTTGCATTTTAAATTTACTCAAATTAAATTAAATGCATAAATACATGCAAATGAAGGCATTTGGGAAATAGTGCATTTGGATTAGTTTTACTGTAAAGCAAAATACTTTACAAAGCGAAAGTTATTATGATGAATGTGGTAATATTGGCATTTGAATTTACGGTACGTTACTTAAAACCCCTGTTTAATTAGCTTGTAAATAATCTTTTAAAATGTTCTGTTTTGCTGTTACCTGTATTGTTTTTAACTGATCAAACTGATTTTTTACCAAACGCACCTATTGGTATCAGATTGTATAGACAATAACAGAATGATAGATAGATAGACAGACAGATAGACAGACAGACAGACAGACAGATAGACAGATAGATAGATAGATAGATAGATAGATAGATAGATAGATAGATAGATAGATAGATAGATAGATAGATAGATAGATAGATAGATAGATAGATAGATATTATTTCTCTTACCCGTCGGCTGTGGATGTTGACTTAGATGTGACTTATGAAACTGTAGATCACATTTAAACGATGTTGCTGAACTTCTGCTTTTTCCGCTGTTTCACTTCTCCAAACTTTTACATTTACTGACAGCCACCAATATATTTACTCTCAGATATGGAGCCTCATATGGAAGTAATGCTTTGACTTTGTAGGCAAGTATCTGAAAGTTTCTCCATCATGTGCTACTTTTTATTTTTGTTTTGAAGTTTTGTCTTACATGGCTCTAACGCCTCTGGTTTGTATATTTAAATACATATAAATGTATTATATGGGATGTTTAACATATAAATCATTGCTTAATAATTGCGCAACTATGTTTGACTTGTTTTGTCAGAATACGCAGTACCATATTTGACCAGTAGATGATTTGGCTGCTCTTTCAGCTGCACTTTTCAACATGATTATCACTTTATTTGATATCTTTAATAAGAGATATCCATCTCTGAACAAACTTTAGCGTACAGTCTGTATTTTTCTGATAACGTTGCTGTGAGGAACTATAATATGAAGCACTCTATTGACCTCAGACGCAGTTAATGCTGTTAACCATTACAAACACCATCGAAGGCTGTCTCTATTAAGCATGTGTGTGGTTAAGCAACCATGGTATTTTATTTGAACTTTAGGTCTTTTATCAAAGAATTGTAAGTATTTTAAAGCACCAGGCAACGACATGCTCCTGATGCGAGGGATGAAGGTAAGTATGTGAAATGATGGCCACTAGTTTTGGCTTATCACTTTATTTGATATCTTTAATAAGAGATATCCATCTCTGAACAAACTTTAGCATACAGTCTGTATTTTTCTGATAACGTTGCTGTGAGGAACTATAATATGAAGCGCTTTATTTACCTCAGACGCAGTTAATGCTGTTAACCATTACAAACACCATCGAAGGCTGTCTCTATTAAGCATGTGTGTGGTTAAGCAACCATAGTATTTTATTTGAACTTTAGGTCTTTTATCAAAGAATTGTAAGTATTTTAAAGCACCAGGCAACGACATGCTCCTGATGCGAGGGATGAAGGTAAGTATGTGAAATGATGGCCACTAGTTTTGGGCAAATTAAAACAGCATTCCCATATAAAAATATAATATATTAAATATATTGCCCTTTATCAAGACTGATATTGCAATATATGTTATCTACAAGGCCATTACATTATGTGGATGTATGATGCAAGTATAAATATATATATATAAAATCCGCATAAATTTGTATAGTCTGTACATATGTTAATAATATCTAAATTATGATTTTTATGTAGCAACCATATATCAATATATATATATATATATATATTATTTATATATGCAACTTTATTAAAACAACAAATATACAACAAAATCTAAGTTTTTGTTGATGTTGTTGATGTTACTTATTTAATATCAACTAGTTTTAGGATGAATATACTTGATATTTATGTCTAAAAATGTATTACACATACCAAAACATGCATATTTTTATATGGGCTAGATATATATATATTTAGATATATAGATAGATATAGATGGATATAGATAGATAGATATACATGTTAATATATGAAATTTATATGTATATATGTTTTTACGTCATATGACAATATATTTAATATATTTAAAAAATGTATGCATTTAGCAGACGATTTTATCCAAAGAGACTTACAGTGCATTCAGGCTATGCATTTTTTATCAGTATGTAAAAAATACTTTTACATATATGGAAAATGTACATATATGGAAATTTAATATATGTACTTATATTGCATTTGCATATGGGTTGTATGCATCCTGTGCAGTGAATGCAATCCCAGTTATTAATTAGGCAAATTAAACTATTTTACCTGATATTTGTGCTTTTATGGTTATTAGAGTTATTAAAGTTTAACAGTATGCCACCTCTATTGCAAACAGCTGTCCAGTTGTCTGAACGTTCTGGCAAAGTTCTCTAAAAAAGTTATGAACAAACATTCTTCCAGTAATGTTAATAGAAGTGATCTGATCTTTAATAACGTTCTCTAAACATTAGCAGAAAAAAAAATTATTTATACATCGCCTATGGACGTTCATCTAAGATGGTTCAGAGGACATTCAAAAGTAACACGTTTGCAAAATGATACAATGTAACGTTCCCTTAATGTTGTCTGTAACTTTCACATAACCAAGAAACAAAAGCTGGACGATTTAGAGAAGATTCAGAAGTAATGTTTTCATAAATATTAATGCTAGCAAACTGTTTTTAGAACATATTCTGTTAGCTGGATGTGAGTCGAGTTGTTTGGTAAGTTGTGTTTCAGATAGGATGCTGTCTTTGAAGACAGAAAATCAGGTTTTCGGTGTTTGTGTCTCTTGTGTTGCTGTTACACGTGTTGTTTTCCACTGATTGAGCTGATTTTTGTTCAGCATCCTCTTTGAACAGTCTTCTGATCTAATCAGACGCTCCCAAATGATGTCTCCAAACACAATCGCACGCACCGCTATAAAACTACAATCACATGTCCTGAAGCTGTCATCGACTTCAATTGAGTTTGATCTTCAACCCTGAATGCAAAGCAAAGGTTTATTGCTGTTTTCATTGCAGTTGTTTGCTGCTCTTCCGGCCTGACGTCGGAGGTTCGAGACATAAAACAGCAGCGTAACGTCTTTAGAGGGATATTGAAGCTGTTCTTCAGAAATGACAGCTTAAACATGAAAGCGAGGTCAGATGCACGTGCTGCAGAGACAGAGTTATTTTATTAGGTGTTTCTTTAAACATATTCACTTTTATATCACATCTTTTATTATGATTTTTATTAAAACTTCCAGATTTCCACCTTTTTCTCCGTTATATGATCACGTTAAAAGAGTTTTGGATTTGTTTATGTTCAAATATAATGTTCGAAACTAAACGAAAAAGATGTATTTTTTTGTATGTAAAAATATATATTTCTTTTCACAATCCCAGACCTAAACTTTGAATCTTAAATAATAAATAAATAAATAAAATAATGATATAACATTTTTCTTTATATCATTTTATTTGTATTATTTTTTATATATTATTTTATATTATTATACTTACTGTATTATTTTTAAACTAACATAATTCAAACAATGAGTGAAATAAATAAGCTATCTTAATGTTTGTTGTTTGGAATGATTTCTGTCAGTATTGTCAAAATTATGTCTTCCAATTTTCCTACTACTTACTAATTTTACTACTTTACTCTGTCTAGACAACGGTGTCAATAAAGAGATTGAGATGAAATATTAGACGTGACGTGTGGAGAAAACAGACAAATAAAGGTAAATATGTATTTTTTATTGTTTATTCTTCTTCTTTTTTTTTAGTGCATAATTGTCAGTCTGTTTTTTTTTTCCGGTTATGAAAAACACGTGTAAATATTGTGTGTAACACAAAAAAGACCTAAAGACCTTATGCTATGAAATAACTCTAGCACTGAAAAAAATATTTTCATAAGAAAGTGTTAGGGATGATTCAGAGAAAATATTATTGTAAATATTTATTGTCAGTTTGTTTCTGTTTGTTGATTTGTTTATTATTATTATTATTATTAGATAAATAATATTTAGCATCCTATAGAAAACCAAGCCTGTTTTGAGGACATTCACTTTTTTTTAAAATTAAATATATGTTTTATTTATTTTTAAATATTACATTTAATTGTAATGCACGTATTTAGACTGATGAATATTGTATATTGTGGATATTGATATATAAATTAAATAGAGAAAGGTGTGATCTAAGACAGTTTACATACAGCGCCCATAGAGACACCCATCAGCGTGTTTCAGAAAAAAGCCAAATTAAATTTACTGCATTGATCTGCCAGATAAAACATCCTTCATTCTCTCTGCTTCTTTCCTTGCTTTCTTTCTCTCCATCCATCATCAGTCTCTCTCTCTCTCTCACTCTCTCTCTGTCTCAGTCTCTCTCTGTCTCTCTCTCTCTCGCTCTCTCTCTCTCTCTCTCACTCACACTCTCTCTCTCTCTCTCTCTCTCTCAGTCTCTCTCTCTCTCGTTCTCAGACGCTGTAAGTCATGAGAGGATCAGAGTTCATGTTAATCATTGATCAGATCTTCGTCTTCCTGCACTCTCAGATCTTCAGTGTTTATGTGCGTCTCTCTCTTTCTCTCTCTCTCTATGAGCTTCTGGTTTTCTTTTATTAATAATGCTTTGGTTTTCCAGCGGAGGACGATGAGTGGATTTGTGCTCCTGTAGGTGGCTCACAATGTTTCGTGTCTGGTCTGTGTGCGTCTCTTTAGTGTTGATTTTATGGGGAACGTCTGAGAAAGTCCAGGGAAAAGCATCTAAACTGTGGCTGCAGCCGCTGAACGAGACGTTCCTGCAGACCGGTGTGTTTCCCAGTGGGTTTCTGTGGGGCGTTGGGACCGCGGCGTTCCCGACCGAAGGGTCCTGGGATGCGGATGGGAAAGGCGAGTCTGTTTGGGATTGCTTTACTCGTCACACGGATCCGTCCAGCAATAGCTACATCCAATGGGAGGAGGATCTGGAGTCAGTTCGGTATCTAGGTGTGAACTTCTACGCTTTTTCTTTATCCTGGACACGGATTTTCCCGGACGGAAACGCGAAGGCACATCCCAACCCGGCCGGAGTGCAGCATTACCGCCGCTTGATCGGGAAGCTGAAGGAGCTTCAGGTGGAGCCGGTCGTGACTCTGTTTCACTGGGATTTTCCGCAGGTCCTGCAGGAGCGTTTTGGAGGCTGGCTCAACCGAACCACGGCGGATGTTTTCGCAGATTACGCCGCATTTTGCTTCCAAACGTTTGGAGCCGAGGTCCGCTACTGGATTACGATGCATAACCCGTTTCTCCTGGCCGTCCAGGGCTATGGGACCGGCGCTCACGCTCCCGGAGTGACCGGAGACCCCGCTGACCCCTTCATCGCCGCACACAACCTCCTCAGGGTGAGTCTGGGGTCAGAGGTCAAAGGTCAGGTGTGAAAAGAGTGCAGCATGCGAGACTGTGTCGGGAGATATATTTAGGGATTCATGAGCCCGTGAGAGAAATTAAAATACAATTACAGTTTCAAATACCTCTTGCACCAAAATCAACTGATTATTTTTTTACATAATGAAGCTCAAGCATATGTTTAAAGACATTTATTTTTGAATTTACATTATTTTCATATGAATTAAGCACATTTTACATTTTTTTTTTGTTGTTGTTATTTTAATTAGATTTTTGAGGAGGGTTTTCAAAACAATGTTTAATAGTGATTTTTATTATATTTATAAATTGCAGTGTATAAGTTATTTTTTATAAATATAAATTATGTTTTCTATTTTTGATATTATTTTCTATTGATTTATATTTATTTAATTCGTATTTTTACTACTTTTGTTATTTATTTAAATACCACAGAGGCCATGCAGTAGTTTATTATTTTATCTGATAATGTTGACATTAATAAAAGTTATTGGCAAAATTAAAACAAAACAAGACAGCAGTTATTCATGTTTTATCTTAAAAACAAGACAAACAATAACAGTAATGCTTCTATAAAATTATATATATATATAATTGTATTTGTTTATACTTGCTCTACAAAATGTGATAAATAGCCTAATAAAGACATGAACTATTCTGCATTAAGTGATTTGTATTTAATTTCCTAATAAATAATGGTACAGTTATTACATACAGGGTGATTTATAATAATAAAATAATTAAGAACACAAAGTAGAATTAGTCTGTTTTTAAAGCCATTAGGATTAATTATTTTTATTTATTTATTTTTGCATTGACTTTAATGACAATAGTCACATTTTACAAATAAATCTTATTTTCATTACTTATTATATTTGTTTTAATTCTTAATAGTAATTTTAATTGCATTTAAAATTGTCTAAGAACACTGCAGTAATGTGTCTACTGTGCACGTTTTATTTGTTTTTATTTTTTATTCTTAAACGTAATTTTGATTACATGATTCAGTGTAACACAGTTACTTTTATACAAGTATTTAATAAATTAAATGTATCATTTATTTTACTGTAATTTACTTTTATTATTATTATTTAAATCCCACAGAGGCTATGCATTTTTTTTCTGGGGGAGGGGTTCTGTTATATTTGAGATTTGCAAAAGTGATTGGCAAAAATCTCAAGAAAAAAGGTTTTTCTTGTGTCGTCTCAAAAAACAAGACAGAAAATAATAGCAATGCTTCTGTTTTTACTTGGTCTTCAAAATGAACCTACCAAATGTGATAAATAGCCTAATAAAGGCATGAACTCTTCTGCATTACGTCGAAGTCTACATATAATCGGGGGGGGATTCTACTCAGATCTGACCAATAGAACGTTTTGCTCCACAAGATCGTCTCTGCTTCTCCGTCCAATAGTCGAAGCAGCTTCAGTTCTGATGAGGGTTTGCTCTGGTGTCTCCGCAGGCTCATGCGAAAGCGTGGCATGTTTACGACAAACACTTCAGACCCCATCAGCACGGTAAAGTCTCCATCACGCTCGGCTCTCATTGGGTGGAGCCTCTTCACGCCCAGGCCACGCCCACCAATCTGGAGCTCTGTCAGAAGGCCATGGAGGCTGTGATTGGCTGGTTCGCCGAGCCCATATATGGAAGTGGAGACTACCCCGAGTCGCTGAAGGCCTCGCACCGCGGCGTAATCCCAGAATTCAGTGTGCAGGAGCGGCTCTGGATGAAGGGCACCGCAGACTTCTTCTCTCTGGCCTTCGGGCGGGAGACCCAGAGGGTGGGCCAAGGATTGGCCCGATTCGGGCAGACAGTGAAGCTGGATCTGAGGAGCATTCTGGTCTGGGTCCAGCAGACGTACGGTGATCCGCAGGTGCTGGTGGCAGAGAGCGGATGGTTCTCTGATGCTTCTGTCGGAGTCGAGGACACTGTGGCCATTTATCTGATGAAGAGGTTCATCATGCAAGTCATGCAAGGTGTGTGTGCATTTTAAACCCTGTTCACACCTGCTGTCGATATGCAACTCAAATGAAATTTTAATAAAAAATTTAATTTTGTATTTGCAAAAAAGTTTTTATTTGTTTGTTGTAAATAAAAAATGCATTTATTATAAATAAACAATATGTATTAATTTTTTGTGAATACATTAATAAAAATGATGTATTTGTTTCTGAATAAATATATTTTACATTTACATTTAGATATTTAGCAGACGTTTTTATCCAAAGCGACTTACAAATGAGGACAATAGAAGCAATCAAAATCAACAAAAGCAACTCAAATGAAATTTTAATAAAAAATTTAATTTTGTATTTGCAAAAAAGTTTTTATTTGTTTGTTGTAAATAAAAAAATGCATTTATTATAAATAAACAATATGTATAAATTTTTTGTGAATACATTAATAAAAATGATGTATTTGTTTCTGAATAAATATATTTTACATTTACATTTAGATATTTAGCAGACGCTTTTATCCAAAGCGACTTACAAATGAGGACAATAGAAGCAATCAAAATCAACAAAAGAGCAATGATAAGCAAGTGCATTAACAAGTCTCAGTTAGCTTAATGCAGTACACATAGCAAGTTTTTTTTAATCATATAATAAATAAAAAGAAAACAGATAAAATAGAAAAAAAATAAAGCTAGCTAGTCTTAGAGGCCTTTTTTTTTGCTTCTGTTAATTGTATAATAAATAAAAAGAAAACAAATAGATAGAATGCAAAAAGATTGGCAAGTGTTAGTTTTTTTTTTTTAAAGAAAACAAGCAGTTAGTAAATAAATAGAGTGCAAGTCTAAAAGGGGCAAGTTTATTTTTATTTTTATAAAGAATATAATTAGAATAGAGAGTGCTAGAGTTAGAGGGTCAAATAAAGATGGAAGAGATGTGTTTTTAGTCGTTTTTTGAAGAAGGCTAAGGACTCAGCTGCTGGGATTGAGTTGGGCAGGTCACTCCACCAGGAGGGAACAGTTAATGAAAAAGTCAGTGAAAAGTGATTTTGTGCCTCTTTGAGATGGCACAATAAAACGTTGTTCACTTGCAGAACGCAAGCTTCTAGAGGCACATAACTCTGAAGTAATGAATTTAGGTAAAGGGGTGCAGAGCCAGTGGTGGTTTTCATTATTTTCGACTCGTTAAAAATTAATCTTGCTGCCACGTTCTGGATTAATTATAAAGGTTTGATAGAAGTGGCTGGAAGACGTGCCAAGAGAGTATTGCAATAGTCCAGCCTGGACAGAACAAGAGCTTGAACAAGGAGTTGTGAAGCATGTTCCGAAAGAAAGGGCCGGGAAATCTGCAGGACCGGGCAGTTTTAGCAATGTGGTCTGAGAAAGTCAGCTGATCATCAATCATAACTCCAAGGTTTCTGGCTGTTTTTGAAGGAGTTATGGTTGATGAGCCTAACTGGATGGTGAAATTGTGATGAAACGATGGGTTTGATGGAACCACAAGCAGTTCTGTCTTGGAAAAGTTGAGTTGAAGGTGATGGTCCTTCATCCAACAAGAAATGTCTATTAGACATGCTGAGATGCGAGCAGATCGTCGGATCATCAGGATGGAATGAGAGGTAGAGTTAAGTGTCATCAGCATAGCAGTGATATGAAAAGCCATGTTTCTGAATGACAGAACCTAGTGATGCCATGTAGACAGAGAAGAGAAGTGGTCCAAGAACTGAGCCCTGAGGCACCCCAGTAGTGTGATGAAACGATGGGTTTGATGGAACCACAAGCAGTTCTGTTTTGGCAAGGTTGAGTTGAAGGTGATGGTCCTTCATTCAGCAAGAAATGTCTGTTAGAAAAGCTGAGATGCGAGTAGCTATCGTCAGATCATCAGGATGGAATGAGAAGTAGAGTTGAGTGTCATCAGCATAGCAGTGATATGAAAAGCCATGATTCTGAATGACAGAACCTAGTGATGCCATGTAGACAGAGAAGAGAAGTGGTCCAAGAACAGAGCCCTGAGGCACGCCAGAAGCTAGATGTTGTGACTTGGACACCTCACCTCTCCAGGATACTTTGAAGGACCTATCTGAGAGGTAAGACTCAAACCACTGGAGTGCGGTTCCTGAGATGCCATTTTCCAATAGGGTTGACAAGAGGATCTGATGGATAACTGTGTCAAAAGCAGCGGACAGATCCAGCAAGATAAGTATAGAAGATTTGGAAGCCGCTCTTGCCAGTCTTAGGGTGTCAACAACTGAGAGCAAGGCAGTCTCGGTCGAATGTCCACTTCTGAAACCAGACTGGTTGCTGTCCAGGAGGTTGTTCTGTGTGAGAAAGGCAGGGTCTTGGTTGAACACAGCTCGTTCAACGGTTTTGCAATGAAAGGAAGAAGGGAAACTGCTCTACAGTTCTCTAAAAGAGATGGGATATGGGTGGGTTTCTTAAGAAGTGGGGTTATACGAGCCTGTCTAAATGTTGAGGGAAAACCACCAGTGTGAAGGGATGTGTAATGAGTGAGTGCAGGTACAACGGCAGGAGAAATGGCTTGAAGGAGATGAAATGGAACAGGATCAAGTGGACAAGTAGTAGGATGATTAGAAAGGATGAGTTTGGAGACTTCTGCCTCAGAGAGTGAAGAGAATGATGTGAGCGAGTGTGTGTTTGCTGATAAGATGTGCTTGACATATTGTGGTGTGGAAAAATGTGCACTGATGATTTTAATTTTATTAATCAAGAACATGACAAGATCGTCAGCTGTTAGAGTTGATGAAGGAGGGGGAGGAGGAGGACAAAGGAGGGAGGAAAATGTTTTAAAGAGCATGCGAGAGTTAGGCGAATTGTTGATTTTGTTATGATAGTATGTTCTTTTAGCAGTGGAGGCATTAGCAGAGAATGAAGAGAGAAGTGACTGATACATATTAAGGTCAGTAGAATTTTTTTATTTGCACCATACTCTTTCTGCAGCTCTGAGCTTAGAACGATACTCGCGGAGAATATCAGACAGCCAAGGGGCAGAAGAGGTGGTACGAGCTGGCCTGGAAGACAAGGGGCAGACAGTGTCTAAACAAGACGTAAGAGTGGAGCAGAAAGTATCAGTAGCACGGTTAACATCAAGAGATGATAACTGAAACCATAGCAGATAGCCGGGAGGGTGAGAGTTAGCGTGGTTACGTCGTTTTAATGAATAAATATTTATTATTTTTATAAATACGTAAATTTACTTAAAATAAATAAATACAAATATTTATTTCTACATTTATGATTAATGAATAGATATTTATTTATTTATATATGTATTTTTGATAAATACATACATTTGATTTATTTTTATTAATGTATTTAGTAAATAAAATGTACTTATTTAATTTTAATAAATATACAAATAAAAAGTATTTATATCAATATATTAATAAATATTATGTATTCATATATTTTATTAATAAATGCATACATTTATTTATTAATTTATACATTTGGTTTTAATAAATATATAGCAAGTGTCAATTTCTAAACATTTATTTTTAATGAATAAATCATATTTATTTATTAATAGTTTTTATAAAGAATATAAATGTATTTGGTTGTTTATTTATAATAAATACAATTATTATTTGATACTATTTGAAACATTAATTGATTTTAATTTTAATGAATACATATTTATTAATGCATTCATTTTTAATAAATAGATTTTATTATGTGTTTTATTTTTATAATTCAATGTATCTGTAATACATTTATTTATTTATTTATAATTTACAAATGTTTAATTATGGTGAAGAAGAATGATTTCACTGCACTTCATTCTAGATCACTAATTATCATTTGTTCATTAATGACTTCTTTGTGTTGTATGTGTTCTTGTCCACCGAGAGTGATTGGATGACAATTTAATGTCTGCTAAATGCATAAATGAATCACAATACATCTCCATAACACACTAATGATTAAAATATAGATGCACTTCTCTAAATTATGCATAATCAGCACTATAAGAAAGTGACAGTGATAAACGCTGAATGAATTAAATGGCATATGAAAGATAGTTTGTCCATAACGTCATCATGTCTTTGTGTCTGTGTCCTCTCAGCCGTTTCTGTAGATGCAGTGCGTGTGTTCGGATACACGGCCTGGAGTCTGTTAGATGGCTTCGAGTGGAATCACGGTTACAGCATGCGGACAGGTTTATTCTACATCGACTTCAGTAAACCTGAGCGCCACAGAGTCCCGAAGACCAGCGCTCACTTCTATAGACGGCTGGTGAAAGACAACGGCTTCCCGGCTGAAAACACGCCACGCATCGAGGGACGATTCCCGTGTGACTTCCAGTTCGGTGTGTCCGAGTCAGTATTACAGGTGAGGGAAGAGGAAAAACACTCTGTCTGTTAGTGAAAACTTTGTGCAGTTTTGAGACCCTGGAGCACAATAAGGGTCATAAGGGTCAATTTTTCGAAATTGAGATTTATACATCATCTGAAAGCTGAATAAATAAGCTCTCCATTGATGTATGGTTTGTTAGGATAGGACCATATTTGGCAACTATTTGAAAATCTGGAATCTGGAATAAAAAAAAATCTAAATATTGAGAAAATCATCTTTAAAGTTGTTCAAATGAAGTTCTTAGCCATGCATATTACTAATCAAACATTAAGTTTTGATATATTTACGGTAGGAGATTTACAAAATATCTTCATGGAACATGATCTTTACTTAATATCCTAATGATTTTTGGCATAAAAGAAAAATCTATAATTGTGACCCATACAATGTATTTTTGGCTATTGCTACAAATATCCCCCAGCGACTTAACACTGCTTTTGTGCTCCAGGGTCATGGATCCAGTCACATTCTGTTTTATTCAACAGAACAGTGGTCAAACCAAACGAAAATAATTTTGTGAACCTTTAGCATTGTCTAATATGTTGCATCGAGAACGTTATTTTTTTAAGATTTATTGTATCAACATTGTTTCTGTAATGATAATTTGTAATTTATCTTATAGCTATGTAAATAGCATTAACTTTGATCAAATAAAATGTATTAATATTGTATTAAGAACTTTAAATCTATATTTGTATCAATTTTGATTCCAATATGAATATATATATATATATATATATATA